AGGAAGTTCCATCTGAAGATGAGGAAGAACTTCTTCCCTCTGAGGGTGACGGAGCCCTGGCCCAGGCTGCCCAGGGAGGCTGTGGAGTCTCCTTCTCTGGAGATATTCCAGCCCCGCCTGGACGCGGTGCTGTGCAGCCTGCTCTGGGTGACCCTGCTTGGGCAGGGGGTTGGGCTGGGTGACCCACAGAGGGCCCTGCCAACCCCGACCACGCCGTGATTCTGAGTGCGGCCGGCGCGGGGAGTGCCCGGGGCTCTGCGACTGAGGCAGCTGAGGGGATGCGTGGCTTTGTGTCTTTCTGCAGACCTGTCTGAAGGAATCGGATGGCAGCGACACTGAGGATTTCTGTTCTGATCACAGCGAAGACTGTTTGTCAGAAGCGAGCTGGGAGCCTGTCGACAAGAAGGAGACTGAGGTACGTGCCCTGTTACGGCAGCTGCAGTGCAGCAGCAGAGTGTTTCTTTGCCGCTAACTTTAGTGGTTACGGCAGCAGAGAGTGGGCTGGAAGCAAGGCCGAGAGCAGCCACCCTTGTCCTGTAACACGTCCTCTGCTGCTGCTGTGCCCGATAAGAGGGGACCTGTGGGGTGGGCTCGCTCTGAGCTAGCCTGTTGCAGTCCAAAGCCACACCTCGGCCTGCGCTGGGGTCCCGAGACCTGCTCGTTGCGGTGTTACAAACTCCGGGCTGGTCTGATGAGGACTGGTGTCTGCCCTAGGTCACGCGGTGGGTTCCGGACCACATGGCCTCGCATTGTTTTAACTGCGATTGTGAATTCTGGCTGGCCAAACGGAGGCATCACTGCAGGTAAACAAACTTATCGCTGTAGTTCCTCTCTTCTTCTCAGCCTGTTCCTCGCAAAGGACTGTCGGTGATGTTCGTTCCCTCCAGCTCCCAGGAGAAAGTTTTAGGTCTTTCCTTTATTTGTCAGGCCCTGCAAATTTCCATTCTACATTGTTCTTGGTTCTGTTTTACCAAGGCCTTTGATCCTTCTCCTGGGTACTAACGTCCATCGGTCCCTTTTTGGTGCTAGCCAGTTGGCTTGCGCTGGAGACCACAGCAGAGACTTCAAGAAATGTGTTGACAGGCCAGGGGTAAGGCTGGTCCTTTGCCCCTGAACTGGATCCTTTGTGCCTGCTGAAGTTTTGCTCTGGTGTTCCCAGCTCTCTTTTTCACTGGTTTTCTTGCTCCTTGACAGGAACTGCGGGAACGTGTTTTGTGCTGGTTGCTGCCACCTGAAGTTGCCCATCCCTGATCAGCAGCTGTACGACCCTGTCCTCGTCTGTAACTCCTGTTACGACCACATCCAAGTGTCTCGTGCCAGGGAGCTCATGAGCCAACATCTGAAGAAACCCATCGCCACGGCTTCCAGCTGAATGCCAGACAAGGGACCTGTCTAAGCCCAGCCTTTTCTCTCGTGGGTTTGAAGGGTGACTCTGCCTCCACTGTAATGGTGAAGGCCGTTGGTGCAACACGTGAACACCAAGCTTGAATGCACTGTCTTCAGCAGTCTTACGATCAGCCTGGAGCAGAGGAGCTCAGATCAGAGCCTGGTGTGTGTCCCCGCTCTGGTACCGGCGGGCCCGTGCATTGTAGCCTGACGACCTAGGGCTAAAGAAGGGATCGCAACCTCTTCCTTTTGTGGGCTGGAAAGCAATGTTCTCACAGCTATTGCCTGTGCAAAGTACCCCCAAAGCAATAGAAAGGCATGTTTAGAACCAACTCCCCCTACAAAGGCAGGCTGCTGCGCGAGAAGGACGAGGGCAGACTCCGTGGGCTTCGGAAGGGCCTCAGCCTGGAGCAGTTCTGTGGATTCTCTTTCCATGAGTGTGATTTGCGATCAGCTTGGCGAACAAGACTCGTTAGCCGTCACCAATTGATTTTCCTCTTGAGCGTTGAAGAGAGATTCGTTCTGGCTGAAAACGGGCCGAGCAGATTTTGTCCGTTTTCACGCTGCGCGAGGATGGGTGCACGCCCTTGACTCTGCCCCTGCCCCCGACCCTGCGGGGAGACGGGCGATCGGCTTCTTCACTTCCACGCTGCCCGCCCGCTCTGTCTGTGGTCGTGTCACAGCCTGGTGCTGGCACAGGAATGGCACCCTGATCCTCTCCTGGCATGGAAACAGAACTCGTGTTCCTGTGTTGCTCCTCCTCCCCTTTTCTGCCCTCGGCTCTCCACTTCCTACTGCTCTTTATCCTGAAAACTTGATACCTTGAGGGTATAGGCCATAATGTGTTGTTTTACCTCCTGGAATGTGCTGTCTGGTGTATGTGAGGGTTTCAGTCCAAATGCTGCTATATATTTCTGTGCACTTAATGTAACCCGAAGAAGGGAGAATGAAGCGTCGATACCAAAACAGGGGTGGGGAAGGACACTGGCTGATGTAGACACTACGGTCTGTGCTTTTCACTTTAGGATGTACAGCCAAGCTATGGTGATAAACATGACGTGTGGCATCTCTTCAGTGGTGGAAACAATCTCTCTTGACTTGCCCCAGCGCTACCTAAAATGCCTCTTGAGTTCGACTTCTATTTCGTCTCCTGTACAGCGGTCAAAGTTCAGAGTTGCCAACTTGTAATTGCCTCTCTACTTCTTCTTTAAACTAGAGAGCAGGAATCCCAATTCATTCTAAGGAGAAGGAACTGGGTTTAGAAAGAAAGAAAGGTTTAGAAGGAAAGTGGGCTTCAGGTGGGCTTTTGATCCCTAGATCCCAGGGGGAGTCTCCATCCTGCCTCCTTTGGAAGAAAGCTGCAGCTGTTAATGAGGAAGAAGAGTTTGAAAGTGAGGCATTTCTTTGCAGAAATGCAGGTTTTCTTCCCAGCTAAATGGCAGTGATGTATTCTGCACCTCACAAGCTGCGACTTTGTACATGGGGGGAAGACCTGTGAGGGCATTTGGTCTGCTAAGGAGGCAAAGTGCTTTACACCGTTGTGACCTCCAAAATTGTTTGCTAATGGTTTGTCATCTCTGTCAGAGGGAATGGAGCAATGACCCTTTCCTGCACTCTGATATGTCAGCCTCTGGTTTTGTAAATCCCAGTAGTGCAAGCAAAGCTAGCATCATCTGAAGACCCTGTACGTACTTGGACTCTGCTTCTTTTCCATCCTGGGAACAACCAATATGGCTTTAGGAAGAGAAGGCACCTTGCTTCAGATTCTCCCCTGCCTTGTGCCTTGCAGTCATTGCCAGACATGGAAGAGCCACCGTTGGGCTGGCAGAAGAAAGTGGATTTGCTCTTGTCTGGCATGCGCTGGAATGACTGCAAGCGATAAGGAAGCCAGAAACTAGGTACTCCTGGCCCTGCCGTTCAGGCCGTTAGTCCAAACTGCTTTTAGCTCTCGTGAGTTTCAGCGTCACAATGTGCTGGCCAAAAACTCTAAAATCAGTTCGATAGCATTGTGACAAACAAAATGTGCTGTACAACTCAATACTGTCGAAATAAAATCTCTATATTAGTGCTGCTGTGTTTGGACCCATTCCTTTAGTTTCTGGTGGATTCTTCTTGCACGGTGTTTCCCAGGCCGCTGGTACTTGCTGCCTGTTCCCTTGATTTAAGGTAGGTTAGGAATTTAATATCCCTGCTCACAAACAAGAACCAAGGGTAGGACACAAAGGACGCGATTCTATGGTCGTCTATTCTGAGGCCCTCTGCTCTTTTCCAAAAAACCCCAACCCACAGCTGCCTGGGACACCAGTGTGGGATTTTTCTTTTCCAAAGAGGAGCTCTTAGGATTCGCTAGCTCTTCACCAACACGTTTATACCGCTCGTTGCCTGGTGGGCTGCATGGACGTGTTCCCCTATGCGGGATGACGGGTGGGGACTGCTGGGCTCAATCAGCCCGATGTGCCAAGGGTGGTGCAGGTAAGTGACAGCTTGGGGTGGAGCTGGAGAGGAGCTTTCAGAAAGCCTGTCCTCAATTTAAAGCGTCCAGAGAGCTTAAAAGGGAGCAGATCCCTGGTGGCTACTCCCATAGTGGAGGTCAGTGTTTGTGTCAGACAGGTAGGACCTAAATGCTTTGTTGTATTAGAAATGTTAAGAGCAAGATCGCTCATTGCATTTCAAAATTAACCATTGCTCCTGCAGCAGCCACACAAAAGGTCATCTTGGAAGGCAATGTTGCTGAATATTAGTAATGAACGATGTTCTTACAAGAATGGACAGTCTCCTGATGAACTTCTGGGCTCTGGTCATTGCAGTGGCGGTGTCATCTCGGTGGGCAGCGGAAGGGTGGCTGCTGGGACTCTCCTACGGCCCTGTGGCTTCTTCTCGCCAGCCGGGACTGCGCTTCTGCAGAATTTCCCCCTGGGCATTCAAGGCTGAATTTTGCTGGAGACACTCACGGCTTGTCAGGCTGGCCGTGCCGGCAAAGGGCACTTGAAGCTCATGATTGTTGAGCACAAAACAAAGCATTATCGCTTAAAGAATATAAACCCATAATTTGCCAACGCGTTCAGCCTGAGGTAATCTGTGTGTGTGCTGAAATGTCTCTCTGCAGTGTAAGTATTGCTATTTTTTTATCTTGGGTGTCAGATACAGGAGCTGAGAGCACCTAGATTTCCTTTGTTTTGCTGTCAGGATATCATGCTTTGTGTAAACATTTGTCCTGTTCCTTTGAGCTCAATGTGTTTTCCGTCCCTGGAGGAAACTGTAAGGTGTAAGTAACTGGGCTTGGACTTGAAGCAAGGTTTATGGTTGGAATTGATGATCTTAAGGGTCTTTTCCAACCTAAATGATTCTATGATTCTATAAACCTAGCCCAAACAGTGAGATCAAAGCCTTCCCCTATCAGAGCACTGACTGCCACAAAGCCTTAGCGAATTAACAACCGGAACTGGTTACGGTGTACTGTATCATCTCAGCCACTGAGCAAAATAAACATCGATTTAGGTGTAGCGAGAAGCCAGGTCGAGCTGGCGGTTGTTGGTGTTGCTCAGCTGCTAAGCCGTTAATGGGTGATGCTAAAACTGCAGGGGATGTGAAGAGACGCGTCGAGCCCCGCTTACTGAAGAAGAGGAGGAGCAGAACGTGGTTTGTGGCCGCCTGGTGACCCCACGAGCGCTGGGCAGGAGGCACTTCAGAGCGGGCGCGGCGGAGGAGAAGGATGCAGGCTTTCCGAGGGTGCGTTGGATGTGTTTCTGTCCATTCAGTTTTCAGGGTAAGAGTCAGAGTTCTATATTTCTCTCCCAAAATATTTAGTTTCTGTGAAAGGGAACTTTGGACACTGCCATTTGTTGATGGGGTACCTCGGGTACCCCATCCTCAGATAAAAGATGCTGCATGCAGTCTCCAGTGAGTTTAAAATCATAATTTAAAAAAAAAAAGTTCCCCAAAGCAGCGCACAACATCAGTCTCACAATGTTTAGCCCAGTCGTGAAACTTTCCCGCACGAGCGCAGTTCTGACTGACGTGTTTTTGTCTGCAGTTCGTTCCTCCTGAACGCCCGGTCGGCTCCGAGTGCCCGCGTCAACCCCTGCGCTGCGTGACCCTGCGGGACTGGCCCACGCTAACCGGAGTGCTCCGCGAGAGGGTGAGTTGGCTGGGGGGCATTTACCAGCTTTGTGTCTGGGGGAAAAGTATTCATCACTGCAACTGCCGCTGCTCTTTTGTGGCTGTAGATGGTAAAGTGCTCCCTGTCACCTGCTGAGGAAGTAGTCGTACTGTTCAAAAACAAGCTAGGTAAACTGAGGTAGTGGCCAAGAACAATATATCTCCACTCACCATCTAAAAAAAATGTGCGAATTCGTATTTATTTAAATTTGCAGAAAGGCCAAAAAAAAAACATTCACAGGCTGCTGAGGTCCTTGCCAAAGGAAAGCGTTTGGCAGAGCTGTCAAAGATATGTGTGGCTGATATGTGTGGCTTACACGCAGGACATGCTCTGCGCGGAGCATCTTTTCAACGCACGGTAGGCAAACTGGTTGCTAGAGTCAGTGGTATTGGTGGAAGGGAGGCGCGCAGCGTCCCAGAGCTGTAGCAGGTAGGCATCTGTGGAGGAACAGATCTCATAGTCAACAAAGCCAGCACTCCTGCCTGGAGCTGCCGTTTCCAGTTA